GATGTCTCGACATCATTCGATAAAATGGTATCTCTGAAGAATGCCGGCTAGGATGTGTCGAACAATGGGAAGGGAGATTTCAATTTTTGCGTACCGCTCAGCATGCTATTGGGATTCTGTGAAGATTACAAACGCGTGGTGATTAACGCTCGTCACGAATTGATTTTAATACGATCGCGCAACGACAACAATTGTCTGTTTGGAGCTATAGCACTGGAGCCGCAGCTTGAAATATTCAAGATACAATGGCGAATGCCGCATGTGCTGTTAAACGAGGTGAACAAGCTATCGATGCTGCGTGCTTTGGAAAGCGGACAATACCTTAACATGGGTTTTCGTTCATGGGATCTCCATGAGTTTCCACTATTGCAGCAGACGACTAAGCATTCGTGGGCTATTAAAACGGCTACTCAGCTCGAGAAGCCGCGGTATGTTATTTTCGCTCTGCAAACAAATCGAAAGAATATCATGTCTGAGAATGTGAGTCAATTCAATCACTGCAAATTGAGCAACGTAAAACTCTATCTGAACTCGGAATGTTATCCATATGACGATATGAATCTGGATTTCGATAAAAGCAAATGGTCGAGTCTGTATGATGCGTTTTCACGATTCCGGAAGAGCTATTGGGGAAACGATGATCTTGCATCAGGTCTCACTGTCGACAATTTTCTAGAATATGGCCCGTTTGTGGCCATCGATTGTTCTCGACAAAACGAATCGGTCAAGAGCGCGACTGTGGACGTGAGATTGGAATTTGAGTGTAAAGAGAATGTACATGCGAATACCACTGCGTACTGCCTCATTATACACGATCGAGTGGTTCAGTACAACCCGCTGACCAATGTCGTGCGCAAAATCACCTAAGTATGACAGTTTGAAAGAAAACTGGTTCCCCCCTCTTTCCAATACCGTTTAGAGGGGATGAAAGGATTTAAAATCTGCTGAGCATCAAGCATTACCAACCGTAATATTTCTCCTTCTCTCGACGTGTTCGAACAAGTCTCGACGTCTCCAAACCAACGTTTTGTGGACCTGCAAGGTTTTATTGTTGCCAGAAACTTTTGAAAAAAAACGGTTTCCCCCTCTTTCCAATACAGTTTAGAGGGGATGAAAGGATTTAAAAATCCACTGTGCATCAAGACCAACCGTAATATTTCTCCTTCTCTCAACGGGCTCGATCAAGTCTCGACGTCTCCAAACAAGTCTCGACGTGTCCAAACAAATCTCGACATGTCCATACCAACGTTTGTGGACCTGCAAGGTTTTATCGTTGGCAGAAACTTTTATGTAAAAGAGTTTGCCTGTCTCAGAGAAGGACGTGTTCTCTCTCACTACATTTTCGCATGTCCCGTACCATGGAAATGTCTCACCAAAGCGGAGCAACACCAAGCATCCTGGTTGATTTCAAATCGTCACGGAGTACGATGGGAAGACGGAATGATTCCATACAGCAGAGCTAGAAGTTTGATTACAACAGCCATGGTTGGTGCAGAGGAGGAGGAGGATGATGATGACAGCGATGACGAGACGAGATTTTCTCTCGTATATGTCAAGGGATTTGAAAAACGAGAATGACTGCGAAGGTTACTCCTGGACGATGTGCGAGAACATGTTTATATCGAAACTATCGATGCGCACTACGAAGATATACAATCTCTAAATAAGTTGGACGTTGCGCGCACTGTGCGTTGCCATAGACATGTAGCGAATTGCGCTTTACAAAATGTTTTTAAACTTTACAATTGGTGGTCTAACCATAAAAATATGTAACAACATGTGTTAAGAAATGTATTCAATTGCTGGTGTAAGCAAAATAAATATATATTATATATCGAAACGATGTCTATTTTTTCCCCGCTCATATTTCCTTCTCTCTCTCTCTCCCTATTCGCATCCTCTCCCTCGCATATAGCCCTACGTTGTCGCTCTTCTTCTTATTAACTACTTGGGAAGGGAAGATAGAATGGATTGGAAGAAAATGTATGTCATTAAAAAAATTTTAATCTCATTTTATTATCTCAATTTATTATCTCAATTTATCAAAATACATCACCCCGACTATGGGCTTTGGCAAGAATTTCTTTTACGGCATAAGCCATTAATTCGCACTTTATGATCGAAATAAATTCACAATTTTCGATTGAATTTTTATAGTACACGTCGTGTAGGATTCTAACTGCATCGTTCGGTGTATCACTTTTTTTTTCGCCACTCATCCATATATCTTGTAAACGCACGAGTTCTTCGAAGATTTCATGTACTGTTTCTAGATCATCATACAGTTGAAAATATATGCGATCTACACAGTGTTCCAGTTCAAATAAAAATGATATGGTTGATGGTTTCATGTACATAGAAGTATTATTTGATGTTACTTTTACAATATTTCCGTGGCGCGTTCTAACTAGTTCTAGAGCTAAATGATTAAGCTGTACCGCTGATGATGATGCCGCATCTGTTGCCTTTAGCAGCTGGTCTATTTTTGATGGATTTTTTCTGTATTCTTTCCAAATTGATTGATCTAACTCCATCTGATGTCCTTGATTATCGCCGAGAATTATTTCTACGTAGGATGCACGAGGTACTACTCTGATCGCAATATCTATATATTTGAATGCTGTAGATGTCAGCGGTAACCTCCTGCACATGATACGCGGTGGGTTATGAGGTTCATCAGAACTGAGAGAATATATAAAGTAAAATAAATACAATTATATGTGGAAAAAATATGTGTAAATATGCAGTGCTTTATGGTACTTACACGTCACCACACAGTTTCTTGCACGATACAGTTTCATCTTGAGGAACGGATGGCGTATGACTGCTTCGAGGAACATACGGCATGTAACGCTGATTGCTAAAACTGTTTGAAAAATACAATTAAATGGTGAAAAAATGTATGCAATATATAACTTTACGGTACTTACGCTTTACACTGTTTCTTGGACGACATATCCAGAGGAATGTAATGATTCATTCTTCTAACACTGTATTGGAAACATCAGAAAAATCGACTCACTTCGACGGCGACGACTGAAACTCTGAGGGCGTCTTTACTAGTCCCAGGAAAATTGTTAACTTACCCCACCCTTAATCCAACATCTTCCTCCCTCTATCCCAACCACTGCGTTCTCTCTCTCCCTTCCATATACAGGGTGAGTCAGTATAACCTTTTACCATTGAAAATACAAGTTCGGAATAAAATTCTAAGATGAATTTTCCTCTTGTAAAACTTTGGTAAAAGCTTATTTTTCTAGATATAAATAAAAATTGTTACCCTATCACACGTCGAATACAGGAGGCAGGCAGGGGCGGCGCAACTGACAGTCAGGCGCGGGCTCTTTCGTGGGGTGGTCGTTGCACGTTGCGATCAGCTTCTCTCCGGTTCACTCACTCACTCACTTTTTTTTTTTACGTGTGGAAATCCTTTATGGATACCCGGGCCCCCCTCCGGGAAGGGAGTTTACATTAAGTGGCCCGGGTTATGTGGGACTGCCCCCCAATGGCGATCGGGTGCGGCCGCTGACATTGCGACCGCTGGGCTTACCGCACTAAAACCACACGGTGGACTGCGCTGTGCTTTACTTGAGGGACGCCCAGGACTTGGCAGAGCCATTACTTCTGGACGCCCCCCGCACCGGCCCGCCGTTTGATGGGCGGGCCGCTGCGCTCCCTCCCCCGTTGGTGTGAGGGAGGGGGGACTCCTCCCCGCAGGGGGAGTCCACTACTCTTTTGGGCGGCAGAGGCATTCACGACCTCTACCGCCCGCCTCCGTGGAGGCAGGGCC